GGGGGGGTCTCTCCATTCATGGATTGAGATACAAAAAAAAAACACAAAACAGCACACGCATTATAAATATACAATATTTCACGGCATGGTCTACTTTCCAGACCCCGCTGAAGATATAAGAAATCCATTAAATAAATGGAATGCTTATAAGTAAGTCACAAACGAAAGATCCCAAACGCATGTAGAGGTCCTATCAGCTATCCCAAAAGTAAAATAAATTGGGAATAAATTACGTAAAATTAAACAAAAGTAAGAAAGTAACGAAATACTTCGCCACAAAATGAAAATAACGAAGTAAAACGTTACTTCTTATAACGACTTCGTTCCAAGTAAAAGTACTGCAGAAAAATTATTTTACTTTATTACATGCTCACTTCTCAAAAATAGTACTCAAGTACAGTAACGAAGTACATTTACTTCGTTACTTGACACCACTGCTGCTAAGACTAATTAAGTGCTAAATGAGATAAGAAAAGACAAATTAGATCTAGACGATAAGGCGAAGAACACAAACACAGAAATATCATTTTCTAAGCGTTATCACTGTGTTTGTAATAAACAAATTCAGTATACATGGTGTAGACCAGCCAGAAATCAATAGACCATACAATGAATCGCCATTTATTCAAAAATCCTCAAAACCTTCAATAAAATAAAGCGACTGCTACGCAGGCTAATTAACAATGAGTACAAAAAAAACCACAAAAACAACTGCATCGTTATCAGCCGCTTATTGCCGCGGAGCGAGACAACACACTATTCATGACACGCGGTGATTTCTTCAGTGTCCACTCGACTCACTGCTTTCCCGCGATCTATTAATCTATTACTATTACTAGTTTACCCACAGGGTAATGAATGCTGCCTTGGTATCGCATTGTTCCCAAATCTTTAGTATTTTAAAGAACAAGAATAAGAAATATTTGCAATGAATTCATTGAATTGGAATCATCCATATTACATAATTTATACATCAACATCTTCAAAAACGGCCAATTAGACCAGGGGTTAAAGGGCATGTCACATGCAGGTGACAGTTAACATGTAATGTTTATCAAAGAAGGCAAAAATATATACAAGACAACCTCACATGGGGAATCTGTTCACTTACGCACTGCCTTGTCATGCAGTACAAGTGAAAATACAAATGACAAAGCATTTTTAAATCCTAAAACATACCGTAATTAAATCATACGGCACATTCAAGATTTTATTATAATATCCTATTTCAGCCGCGTTCATACTGCTTGGCGAATTCGCTGCGTTATATTCATTTTTATAATATAGCATTTGTAAATTCTGAACGCTGATTGGCTAAGAGCCGTGTTGATATAACTCAATGTCAACACGGGAAATTTTCCGCCGCTTGTAAACACGGAAATTTTGCTTATCCTTCGGGCTTTTGACATTGTTATATTATAAAAAAAATATAAAACATTTTTCCCGTATTGATATATAGTTATATCAACACTCGTGGAAGTTGGGAAAACTTGAAATTGTATGAAAACACTCCGCCCTTCGGGCGTTGTGTTTCCATACAATTTCTCGTTTTCCCAATTCCACTCGTGTTGATATAACTGTATATCAACACGGAAAATGTTTTATATTTGTTAAATATATACACAGATTTATTACTAATAAATCAACACTATATGATAATATATAGAACTCACAAAGTGCATAAATAAACCTTTTTAAAGCATGTCATTGTCATTCCAGACCAGAGGCAAAAACCAAAAAGCATTGTCAACCACATACCCAATTTAAGCAATCGTGAAATAATATACATGAAAGAATAAGGAAATAATGTTCAATGAAAGCACCGCGTATAATTGCGAAACCACCGCGTATATTAAAATGGTGAATGCACCGCGTATAATGGTAAAAGCACCCGTTATGAATGTATGATGGCGAAAGCACCGCGTATAATCGGCTCGAACCACCGCGTATATTGGCGAAAGCACCGCATATAATGCCGAAACCACCGCCGTATAATGCTAAAAGCACCCAACAAAATGCCGTTTGATCACTTTAAGCCAGCTATGGCTTTCCATAAAAGAAGACCAAAGATAAAAGAAGATCACATTGCCTATTTGCCTTATGCCTGACCCGACTGCACCACGGTCAAAATTCACTGGTACCGTCATGCAATGCGCCAAATAGAAAATTTTGATTTCGACCCACAAAACAAAATTAGGACTGCTGCCTTGCTCGCTCGCTTCAGGCTCGCTCGCTGCGGCAGCAATTATTATTAAAAATGTTATTTCACAACGGCTTCAACACGCCTAGGTTATCGATTTCCAAGGAGCCGTTCACACTATAGTAATGTTTGCAGATGATACAAACGCATTCTATTCTAATTCGAGCATTAATATAGCAAAAGAAACAATGCAAAGAGAGATGAATGAAATACTTAAATGGTTAAACACAAATAAACTCTCTATAAATACAGCTAATACAAAATTGATCCAGTTCAGAGCACGCAATAAAAAGCAACTAACTGAAATGGTTGTCTGGAAAACGCGTACACGTACACGCGTACACGTACACGCCGCGTGCACGTACACGCGTACATGGAAAACGCGTACATGGAAAACGCGTACATGGAAAATGCGTACATGGAAAACGCGTACATGGAAAACGCGTACATGGAAAACGCGTACCGAATGTTCATTTGTAACGTTAATTAAAACTTGGCGGTTTGATTGGAATTTCTTGATCTTGCAGACCTAGTGATTGTGCCAATGATGGTCAGATCATGGCCTCCGTGAAGGGCAACTTTACAGTGGACTACGTAATGTTTAGTACTTTCATTGTGTTCCAACATGCATCCAGAAAAAGCAGCCGTATTTCCAACTACCTCACGCTATTATCCCATGCATGCACGTGAGATAATGCCACTTCTCTGCGATGAACATTGGAGATATATTAATCACACATTCGGAAACCTCGCAATCCAATGAAGAAACTATGCACTGACGCTTATTGAAAATTATCTAGTATTTTAAATTGTCAAGGTTTTCTTTAGCATATAGTTTATTTATCATTTATAGACCCGAAGCGAGGGGGATTCGGCGGAATATTACCCGAAGTGATGATATTTATTTAATATTTGAAATATACATATATAAGTACAGATTCTGTACTAAAACCACTAATTCTGTTTTGTGATTGGCGCGGTTTAATCAAAGAATCTCCCCGTTGAACCAGAGCCTTCGCGACGTTTCAATTTATTATTTACTGTCGAAGGCTCTGGAATCCAGGAATTTACATGCCGTAGCACGACATGGTGATACAACATGATTAGATCAAACTAAGTCAACTAACACAACAGAGCCAGAGAGCCTAAACTGTCTATATATAAAATATATTATATATAGACAGTTTAGGCTCTCTAGCTCTGTTGTGTTAGTTGACCGCTTAGTTTGATCTAATCATGTTGTATCACCATGTCGTGCTACGGCATGTAAATTCCTGGATTCCAGAGCCTTCGACAGTAAATACATACATACATACATAAAAATTTATTTAAACACTTTAGCCCTAACATCTTCAGTTGATGGTTTCCATAGGGGACGTGTAAAAATAATACTAATACATATACATAATACAAACTATTTACATGATTATTATTTTGACAATTAACAAACATAAATAAATAACAAACATACAAAACTATTTACATACTTATGGTTTTCGAAAATGTAGTTTCATTAGTCTTTTGAAACAACTCAAAGAATTGGATTGTTTAGCAGTAATTGATAAGTTATTCCAAAGAGTTGCTCCACTATAACTGAAGGTCTTTTTCTTGAATTGTGATTTTGGGAATGGAAGTACCAGATCTGTTTGAGAATTTCTTAATTGGTGTGTAATTGGACAATCACTTATTTTCAAAAAATTTTCTTTCAGGTTTGGAGCAGTTTCATTATTTAAGATTTTGTAAATAAAAATGGATTTCAAGTATGGCGCCTATTGTCGAGAGTTTGCCACCCCAAAGTTACAAGAACATCGGCCGACCTAATATCATAAGATGCTCCTGTTATTACTCTAGCAGCTCGGGATTGACGCGAGATTCTTTGATTAAACCGCGCCAATCACAAAACAGAATTCGTGGTTTTAGTACAGAATCTGTACTTATATATGTATATTTCAAATATTAAATAAATCACTTATATCATCACTTCGGGTAATATTCCGCCGAATCCCCCTCGCTTCGGGTCTATAAATGATAAATAAACTATATGCTAAAGAAAACCTTAACAATTTAAAATAACAGATAATTTTCAATAAGCGTCAGTGCATAGTTTCTTCACTGGAAGTGTGATTAATATATCTCCAATGTTCATCGCGGAGAAGTGGCATTATCTTATGTGCATGGGATAATAGCGTGAGGTAGTTGGAAATACGGCTGCTTTTTCTGGACGCATGTTGGAACACAATGAAAGTACTAAACATTACGTAGTCCGAATTTTTCTGTGTTGGTGTTGTGTACTCAGGTGAATAATATGTCTGCGATGTTACTCTGAGTGCATATCCACACCGGGCGAGCTTGAAAAATATGCCCGGCCACGGTGGGATTCGAACCTACGACCTTTCGAATACTAGC